GATAAACCCCTGGCCAGACTTAACAAAAAGAAAAGAGAAATTACCCAAATCAACAAAATCATGAATGAAAGAGGAGAGATCACAACCAACACCAAAGAAATACAAACAATTATAAGAACATATTAGGAGCAACTCTATGCCAGCAAATTAGATAACCTGGAAGAGATGGATGCATTCCTAGAGATGTATCAACTACCAAAACTGAACCAGGATGAAATAGAAAACCTGAACAGACCTATAACCACCAAGGAAATTGAAGCAGTCATCAAAAATCTCCCAAAAAACAAAAGCCCAGGGCCAGATGGCTTCCCAGGGGAATTCTACCAAACATTTCAAGAAGAATTAATACCTATTCTTCTGAAACTGTTCCAAAAAATAGAAACGGAAGGAAAACTTCCAAACTCATTTTATGAGGCCAGCATTACCTTGATCCCAAAACCAGACAAAGACCCCATCAAAAAGGAGAATTACAGACCAATATCCCTGATGAACATGGATGCAAAAATTCTCACCAAAATACTAGCCAATAGGATCCAACAGTACATTAAAAGGATTATTCACCATGACCAAGTGGGATTTATCCCTGGGCTACAAGGTTGGTTCAACATCCGCAAATCAATCAATGTGATACAATACATTAACAAAAGAAAGAACAAGAATCATATGATCCTCTCAATAGATGCAGAAAAAGCTTTTGACAATGTACAGCATCCTTTCTTGATCAAAACTCTTCAGAGTATAGGGATAGAGGGTACATACCTCAATATCATAAAAGCCATCTATGAAAAACCTACAGCGAATATTATTCTCAATGGGGAAAAACTGAGAGCTTTCCCCCTAAGGTCAGGAACACTGCAGGGATGTCCACTATCACCATTGCTATTCAACATAGTATTGGAAGTCCTAGCCACAGCAATCAGACAACAAAAAGAAATCAAAGGCATCCAAATTGGCAAAGAAGTCAAACTCTCACTCTTTGCAGATGATATGATACTTTATGTGGAAAACCCAAAAGACTCTATCCCAAAACTGCTAGAACTCATACAGGAATTCAGTAAAGTGGCAGGATATAAAATCAATGCACAGAAGTCAGTGGCATTCCTATACACCAACAATAAGACAGAAGAAAGAGAAATTAGGGAGTCGATCCCATTTACAATTGCACCCAAAACCATAAGATACCTAGGAATAAATCTAACCAAAGAGACAAAGGATCTGTACTCAGAAAACTATAAAATACTCATGAAAGACATTGAGGAAGACACAAAGAAATGGAAAAACGTTCCATGCTCATGGATTGGAAGAACAAATATTGTGAAGATGTCAATGCTACCTAGAGCAATCTACACATTCAATGCAATCCCCATCAAAATACCATCCACTTTTTTCAAAGAAATGGAACAAATCATCCTAAAATTTGTATGGAACCAGAAAAGACCCCGCATAGCCAGAGGAATGTTGAAAAAGAAAAGCATAGCCAGCGGCATCACAATTCCAGACTTCAAGCTCTATTACAAAGCTGTCATCATCAAGACAGCATGGTACTGGCACAAAAACAGACACATAGATCAATGGAACAGAATAGAGAGCCCAGAAATGGACCCTCAACTCTATGGTCAACTCATCTTCGACAAAGCAGGAAAGAATGTCCAATGGAACAAAGACAGTCTCTTCAACAAATGGTGTTGGGAAAATTGGATAGGCACATGCAGAAGAATGAAACTGGACCATTTCCTTACACCACACACAAAAATAGACTCCAAATGGTTGAAAGACCTCAGTGTGAGACAGGAGTCCATCCAAATCCTAAAGGAGAACACAGGCAGCAACCTCTTTGACCTCAGCTGAAGCAACTTCTTCCTAGAAACATCGCCAAAGGCAAGGGAAGCAAGGGCAAAAATGAACTATTGGGACTTCATCAAGATAAAAAGCTTTTGCAAAGCAAAGGAAACAGTCAACAAAACCAAAAGACAACCGACAGAATGGGAAAAGATATTTGCAAATGACATATCAGATAAAGGGCTAGTATCCAAAATCTATAAAGAACTCATCAAACTCAACACCCAAAGAACAAAGAATCCAATCAAGAAATGCGCAGAAGACATGAACAGACATTTTTCCAAAGAAGATATCCAAATGGCCAACAGACACATGAAAAAGTGCTCAATATCGCTCGGCATCAGGGAAATCCAAATCAAAACCTCAATGAGATACCACCTCACACCAGTCAGAATGGCTAAAATGAACAAGTCAGGAAACGACAGATGTTGGCGGGGATGTGGAGAAAGGGGAATCCTCCTACACTGTTGGTGGGAATGCAAGCTGGTGCAGCCTCTCTGGAAAACAGTATGAAGGTTCCTCAAAAAGTTGAAAATAGAGCTACCATATGATCCAGCAATTGCACTACTGGGTATTTACCCCAAAGATACAAAAGTAGGGATCCGAAGGGGTACGTGCACCCTGATGTTTATAGCAGCAATGTCCACAATAGCCAAACTGGGGAAAGAGCCAAGATGTCCATCGACAGATGAATGGATAAAGAAGAGGTGGTATATATATACAATGGAATATTATGCAGCCATCAAAAGGAATGAGATCTTGCCATTTGCAACGACGTGGATGGAACTGGAGGGTATTATGTTGAGTGAAATAAGTCAAACAGAGAAAGACATGTATCATATGATCTCACTGATATGAGGAATTCTTAGTCTCAGGAAACAAACTGAGGGTTGCTGGAGTGGGGGGTGGGGTGGGAGGGATGGGGTGACTGGGTGATAGACATTGGGGAGGGTATGTGCTCTGGTAAGCGCTGTGAGTTGTGCAAGACTGTTGAATCTCAGATCTGTACCTCTGAAACAAATAATGCAATATATGTTATGAAAAAAAAAAAAGAAGAAGGTAGCGGGAGGGGAAGAATGAAGCGGGGGAAATCGGAGGGGTAGACAAACCATGAGAGACGATGGACTCTGAAAAACAAACAGGGTTCTAGAGGGGAGGGGGGTGGGAGGATGGGTTAGCCTGGTGGTAGGTATTGAGGAGGGCACGTTCTGCATGGAGCACTGGGTGTTATGCACAAACAATGAATCATGGAACACTTCATCTAGAACTAATGATGTAATGTATGGGGATTAACATAAGAATAAAAAAATAATAATAAAAAAAATAAATTAAAAAAAAAAAAGAAAAGAAAAAATCATCCAGAGGGCGCCTGGGTGGCTCAGTCATTGAGTATCTGCCTTCGGCTCAGGTCATGATCCCAGGGATCCGGGATCAAGCCCCGCATTGGGCTCCCTGCTCTGAGGGAGGTCTGCTTCTCCCTCTCCCACTCCCCCTGCTTGTGTTCCCTCTCTTGCTGTCTCCCTCTCTCTCTGTCATAAATAAAATCTTTAAAAAAAAAAAAAAGGAAAAATCATCCAGAAAAAAGCAAAATAGATATGATGAAAATATCTAGTTTTATATAACAGAAGTCCTAAAGGAGAAGAGAGAAAAAAAATGGAGCTGAGAGTTGCTGAAGATTTCCCAAAACCAATTAAAGACTTCAAGCCACATAATGAAGGGTACAAACACATGTAAGCAGAATAAAAATAAAAACCACACCTAGCCAAATCTTAGGAAAGCTGAGGGAAAACAAAAAAATAAATCTTAAAAGAAGCCAGAAGAAAAATACATTTTACCTTTAAAGGAACAATAATTGTATCAATACCTAACTTCTTAATAAAAACAATGTACGCCAGAGAATCATCAAAGAAAATAATTGCCAATCTAGAATTCTACATACAGTACAAATATCCTTCAAAATGATGATGAGCTAGGCACATTTTCAGGCAAACAAAAGGTGAGAGAATTTGTTAATAGCATACCTGCAACAAAGAAAATACAAATAGGTGTTCTTTAGGCAGAGGAAATGATAAGAGAGATAAAGCTCAGAGATGCAGAGAGGAGAGAAGAGCAACAAAAAGTAAATTATGTACATAACTCTAAATGACTCCATATAATAATAAAAATAAGTTCTTGTGTGTCTAAAATATATTTAACATTAAAAGAAATAACAACAGTACTGAGGAAAGAAAGGAGGAAAATGCAATTAAACTGTTCTCAGGTGCTTTCTTTGCCTTGGAACTGGCAAGCACACTAATTTATATTAGACATTAATAATTCTAGGATGCACAGTAGTCTCTCTTTCTTACTAAAAGAAAAGTGAAAAATGTTTAATAAGCTAATACAGGAAAAAATGGAATAATAAGAAAATAGTCAATCCAAAAGAATAAAAAAAAAGAGAGAGAGAGAAAGGACCATAGGACAGGTAGGACAAATAGAAAGAAAGTTAACAGGATGGTAGATTTAAATGCAACTGTCAGTAATCATATTAAATGTAAATAAGCCAAATACTTCATTTAAAAAACAAGAATTTTCATAATGAATTAACAAAAACAAATTTTAATTATATACTGCTTACAAGGTATGTTCCTTAAGCATATGAATCCAGAATAATTGAAACTAAGAGGATAGAGAAGTATGTATTATACAAACACCAACCAAAAGAGAGCTGTGAGGTTCACGGAAAGGAAAAATATTTTAACATCACTCTTTGCCTTACATGAGAGTTGTGTAGGTAGTTTCTTGTCTCCACTCTAGGATGCAAATGCATGAAAAAATTAAACTGGACCTTATTCATCTTTATATCCCATGGTATCATGCAAGCTATAGCTAATCGGGATATGTTTGCTCCACAAACAAAGTGAGAAAAGAAATATGTAAATATGGAGGAAATTTTTTTTTTTAAAGATTTTATTTATTTATTTGACAGAGAGAGACACAGCGAGAGAGGGAACACAAGCAGAGGGAGTGGGAGAGGGAGAAGCAGGCTTCCCGCCGAGCAGGGAGCCCGATGTGGGACTCGATCCCAGGACCCTGGGATCATGACCTGAGCTGAAGGCAGTCGCTTAACCAACTGAGCCACCCAGGCGCCCAATATGGAGGAAAATTAAAGGAGCACTTACCTTCTTAATATATGACATGTATCTTCTATCCTGATGATATGAACCATATTCATTCTCAACCTGCAGAGCAATGATGGGGCCTCCCTTTCCATACTGAGGGTTAAGGAGACGAGAGTTTGAGAGTGAAGTTACTGGTGGGAAAAGCTAGATTTTCTCAATATGCTGTTGTACACACATATTTAGAGTGCCATAAAAATAACATATTCCTCAGCTCAACTCCAAGTTAAACCATAGTTCAGGCAGTATCTCTCACTCCACAGTCTGCAGTCAACTGCTCCTAGAATCCTACCTTTTCTAGTATTCCTTATTAATGGACTCCCACCCTTTTCCTTCATAATTCCATGCATTAAACATGACTTCCACTTCCATCCTTTCTCCCTTAGCACCAGCTAAAGGAGTCAAGTGTCTCCCATCCTAAGAGTTGTCTCACTTCCTTCTTATTTTTCAGGAACTTCACTCGCTTCAGACTAGCCTTCTGTCTTCTGTATCATCATCTCCTTTACTAAACCTTCCCCATAATCATTTAAATTGACTCAAAGTCCTCTGTTAAAAATAACTTGCCTGGACCACATCCCCCTCCAGTTCCCACTATCTTGTCCCCTTCACCTTCATGGACAAACTCTGAAATATTCCTGTACTAATACCTGACTTCTTATTCTCTTTTACTCTTTTACTCATTTCCATTCTTTCCATTCCACCTACATTATTAACATTACCTTCTCTTTGCTAAGTTCAAACAATAAATTTTAATCCAAATTTACTATCTCTCTGAGCAACATGTGACATCCTTGACTACCTTCTCCTTCTTGAAAGAAACCCTCTCTTCTGTGGTCTCTTATTGGTCTCTCCTAGTTTCTGGCCTGCCTCCCTGGTCACTACTCTTCAGTTTCTTTTGTGAGCTCCTCTTGCCCTACCCACCTCTTAAATGTTGATGTTTCTCATGGTTCTCTATTAATCCCAACTTTGTGCTGGACCACATCCCCTTTTGCTCTCCTAATTATGCCCTCTTGCAAATCTTCGTATTTCCCATCCCTACTGACTCCTGTCTGTTGATGGTAACATGCTCAGTCATCCCCTATCTTTATAGTTTTCTCCAGTCCAGCCAATATATTTCCTCTTCATATCTTGCACCTGCCACACCCTAGTCAAGCTTCATCATGCCCACTTCGGCACCTCCTCAATCTACTCTTGGAGATACATGGGCAAGAGTGAGGTACTCCCCCCAGCATATAGAAATAGAAGGAGTGTTGACTTCTAAGAATTAAACTCCATACCAACCATGCAAGTAAGAATGTGGACAACACCCAGGACTATGTATAAGTGCCACTGAAGTGTTTGCACATCAAAACCTGTGTTCATCATGACTCAGGAGCAACTGGGTGGAAAAAGTTGAAATGGGAGAATTTTTTAGCAAGAAAGGAATAACTGACTGCACTGTATCCTGATAGGGGAAAAAAGAGGACAAAAGGCCCAAAAGAGTGCTCCCTCAGTATTATGCTGAGTGAAATAAGTCAATCAGAGAAAGACATGTATCATATGACCTTGCTGATATGAGGAATTCTTAATCTCAGGAAACGAACCGAGGGTTGCTGGAGTGGTGGGGGTGGAAGGGGTGGGGTGGCTGGGTGATAGACATTGGGGAGGGTATGTGCTATGGTGAGCACTGTGAAGTGTGTAAGACTGTTGAATCACAGATCTGTACCTCTGAAGTAAATAATACATTATATGTTAAAAAAAAAAAAGAAGAAGAAGAAGATAGCAGGAGGGGAAGAATGAAAGGGGGGAAATTGGAGGGGGAGACGAACCACGAGAGACTATGGACTCTGAGAAACAAACTGAGGGTTCTAGAGGGGTGGGGGGTGGGGGGATGAGTTAGCCTGGTGATGGGTATTAAAGAGGGCACATACTGCATGGAGCACTGGGTGTTATATGCAAACAATGAATCATGGAAGACTACATCAAAAATTAATGATGTAATGTATGGTGATTAAGATAATAAAAAAAATAGAAAAAAAAAGAGTTCTCCCTCAAAACCATTAAATGTCATCCTCTGCTGACAAACACTGAAAAAGTTTTTCAAAACCTCCTTCTCACTTCCCCTTTACCATCCAACCAATTATGAATGTAGCAGATTAGAGAACAGATAAGGAAAGAGGGAAGATCCAGAAATTGACAGTACCTGGGATTAGCAAGAGACCCAGAACCAGATACTAAAAGTTCTAAAGGGCGGCTACTCAGTTGCAAGTGCTGATTTATAACACCATGATAAAATGCTTTTGAGGCCTCCCAACCTCCTCAGACCCTGATTTTGTGCTCCTTAAGCAAGGTTCTGTTTATTAATTTAGTTTTCCAGGAGTTTCAAGACAAAGAAGTCTGATTTGGGGTGGGCTGAGTACTCTAGTTCAATGCTGTCCAGCAGAACTTTCCGATGATGAACATATTCTGTGTTTGCGTTGTCCAGTATGGTAGCAACCATCCACACATGCCTACTGAGCACTAAAAATGTGTCTAGTGTAAATGAAGAAATGAATTTTTAATTTTATTTGACTTTAAGTTTAAATAACTGCATGTGGCTATGGCTACTATACTGGACAGCATAGCTCTAATCTTTGTAAAGGATGATCTCTACACCCCCCCTCCCCCAAATGGCACACAGATTCACACTCTTCAGCCACTTAGTGGTTTTAATGGCTTTCCTGAGTCTGATTAACTGAGATACTCACAATGTTAGGAACCAACTCTCCACAGTAATTTCAAATTCACACTCTGTTAAGCCCTCTCCTATCCACATATAAGTTTGCCATTGCCTCCATTCAATCTATGATAACATCTCCTTCAAATGATTACTGTGGCAATGAGATAAGCTAGGTAAATGTTGACTGCCTCACAGAAAGCTTGATACGTAATACATGTTACATTTTTGTTCCCTCCCTCTGTTCATTTTCTCTCTAGTATATAGTCCTTTTTATATTTTCCAAACATTTTAGAAATATAGTAGCACTAAACAATGATTATGCTCGGCACCATGGTTTTATTGTGGTGGAGGGATGTTAAAAAAACAAATAAATTGCAACTTCTACAAAATTGCTGACCTAAAGTCACCCATCTAATCTATTATGTGTGAAGGACTGACAAGTAGCTACCTTTAGCAGCCAAATTAAGACATTTTGAGGACTATCATTAATTTCCCATTTATGGTGACTGAGGGCAAAGATATAATGGAGAAGGGAAAACAAAAATATACAGAGTGCAATTTCAAGTCCACTGCCAGAGAAAAGGCTTCCAGTTGGGCAGTAGATAGGAAACAGGTACAAAAGCAAGGTAATAAAAACTTAATATTTCTTAAATAAGGAATCGGAACGAGCTGCTATATACACGTTCTGCTTCTGTGTGATAGAAAATAGGCTAGCCTTGGGGCGCCTGGTTGGCTCAGTCGTTAAGCGTCTGCCTTTGGCTCAGGTCATGATCCCGAGGTCCTGGGACTGAGCACTGCGTCGGGCGCCCTGCTCAGCGGGGAGCCTGCTTCTCCCTCTCCCACTCCCCCTGCTTGTGTTCCCTCTCTTGCTCTCTCTCTCTCTCTCTGTCAAATAAATAAATAAAATCTTAAAAAAAAAAAAAAAGAAAATAGGCTAGCCTTATCCAGGAAATCAACTGAGGCAATTACTTCTCTTGGTCATAGGAATGGGGAATTTATATTTACCTGGAGTTGTACTATCTTGGGAATTATCTTATCAAAATAGTGATTCACTGCTTTAGTGAAGCCCCTGTAAGTTGTTCGCAGCTTCATTTTTGGATCCTGGAGTAACCAGCTAGGATTGAAAAAGTAGGAATCATTCTTGGGGTGGGAAACAGCAATAAGAAATACTTAAGCATGAGGCTGGAAAACAAGGACAGCCACACTGGAACAGTATATTGTGAGATCTTAATGCATCTTTAAGAAAAAGCAATCTGCCTTCTAGTTGCAAATAGCTCAGCACCTTAGCCACCGCCTCTTTCCTCAAAATACACATCAGAGTTGTGTAATGATGAAATGATCCAGAGCAGAGTCATCAGACTGCAGCCCACAGGCCAAATCAAAGGCATTGTCTGTTTCTGTAAATAAAGTTTTATTGGAACACAGCCACACCCTTTGTTTACATATTGTCACAGCTGTGTTCATGCTACAAGAGCAGGATTGAGTAGTCACAACAGACTGTGTATGTGGTCCTCAAAGTGGAAAATATTTATTACCTGGTCTTTTACAGAAAAGGTTTACCAACCCCTAGTCTGGAGTGAGACTTTTATAAAGCTGTTTCAAAGTTTTTAAAAAATGCTCTTTGATGGAATATTATTTAGCAGGGGAATGAAGAACTGTACATGCTACTATGTGGGTGAATCTTGAAAACATTACAAAGAAGCCAGTTACAAAAGGTCACATATTCTATAATTCCATTTATATGAAATATACAGAATAGGCAAACCAACCGGTCTGAAAGCCAATTGGTGGTTGCCAGGGGCTGGGAGAAGGAATAATGGGAGTTGACTGGACGTAGGGCTTCCTTTTTGGGTGACCAAAGTCTGGTGCTAGTGAGTGGTGATGGTTGTTCGACATTTTTGAGGTACTTAATTGCCACAAAACTGTACACTTTCAAATGGTAAATTTTTATGTTATGTGTATTTTACTACAATAAAAAATGATTAGAAGCTAACAAAAGGGTAAACCCCTCTTTAAAAAGAGATAATCAACCCAATTTCTTACTATTTGTACCTCCATCACAATAAACTAGAACTTACAAAGGTATTGCTTAAGTGGTAGCCACTAGTTGTTACTAAAATAAAAAAAGTACTCTATCTTATTTACACTGCAGAAATGAGATGGAGGTTTATATAAAACAAACACATACTATATAAATCCCAGTAAATCAAAGTTCATTTTCTATGTCATTAAGTAGGAAAAGAGTATAGTTTAAAAATGTACACAGAAAACCAGCAAAACCCTTTGCTCTAACTTCCATTTGAATGTGCTAGGGGCCCATGTGGAGTCATGGCCAGGGGCCTCAGATAATAACTTACCTGGGTAAGCCTCCAAGGTCTAAGTCGCTCCCAATATAGGGGCCTGGACACAGAATGACCCACAGCCCCACCTCCGAAGCCATGGCTATAAAAGTCCTGGGAAGTGAAGCAATAAGGATCATTTATTATTCAGGCTGAGAACTGGAATCACTGTTATTTAGCTCACTGAGGTCTCTTCTGAGGTTAGAATGGGCAGAACTCCCAGCCTGGTCTACAAAAGTCCTTGTAGGTGACATGAACCAGGGGGTATGGATCCCTACATTCATTACAAAGGGGCTCATTCAAGGTGCTAGAAAACAGAAAGTCCAGAAGCCTACTCCTCCCGTGTATCTGCCACCACTATGCAAGAAAGCTGTGCTAAGGTAGACACTTACAAATCTTGCTCCTCCTTCTGTGTCTCCTACTTTCAGTCAGTCACCAAATCAGGTTTATTCCTCCTACTTAATGTTTTCAAACAGGAAACTCCTCTTAATTTCTAGTACTACCACCACATTTAGTAAAGAACTCATCATTTCACACCTGAGTTATTACAGTGGTTTTCTAGCTGCTTTCCTTCCTTCTTCTAACCTTCTTTCACTGTTTCTCCAGTCACACCAAACATTATCATCAACAACAAAAATAGGAGTTAATTTTTTACCTTGTATCGGCATCCGGCACTACAGTCTTCTTTAGGACTATTATTTTATTTGACAATTCAGTGAGATAAGTATCAATATCGTCTCCATTTTACAGATAATAAAATAAAAGCTTAAACAAGTCAGAGCTCTTAAAGGTCATATTTTCAGTAAATAGAAGAACTAAAAGTACAATCAGGCACAGAGCTTCCAGAAATGAAATATCAACTACTGTATTATTCTGCTTCTTTAAAATACTGCTGGTACAATCTTTCTAAATGCACATACAAACTTGCCAAATTAAAATTCTTCAAGTGACTCCCAATGACTTCAGAAAAGATTCCAAATTGTGAAGCATAGTAAATATAAAAGCAACATGTGGTCTACTACCTATTCAGCTTTATTTTTTGGAAGTTTTTCTACTTAAACTAATAAGAGAACCAGAGAGCATTATTTGCAGTTCCCAGAAAATATACTGTATGGTAGAAAGTTAACCACCAAAGCCAGTCCCTTTTCTTCCTGGGCACACAGCTCAACTACATTTCCCAGCCTCCCAGGCACTGAGGTGTTACTATGTGATGGATTTCAAGCCCACAGAATGTGAACAGGGGCAATGTGTTCCAATTTCCTAAAAAGATTCTCCCTGCTCTCTCTTCCACTTGCTGACTTGATGCAGATGTAAGAGTAGCAGCCTGGAAGCTATGTGACGAAGATGGTGAAGCCACAGATAAAAAGACCCTCAATCTCTTAATTATTTCTTGGAAAAGAGACATAATACTTACCAGGAATACCTATTTTAGATTTTACTTAAATGAAAATAAACCTTTATTGTTAAAAACATTGAGGCTTACTTGTTACAGTAGCTAACATCACCTTAATTAACTTAAAAATGTTCCCTCACATTTTGACTTTGCCCTTGCTGGACCCTCTGCCTTAAATACCACTCAGGTCCCTCTAGCAAACTCCTGCTCAACATTTTAAATTACTTCAGCTATAACTTCACTGTTGTCTTCCCTGATCTGTTCCCATAATTTGGGTTGTGTGTTTTTTGTATATTATTTGTCTCCCTCTCTATAGAGAATCCTTAGTCTTGACAGTACAAGGTGTAATGTCTGTCCATCTCCTCCACAAAAGACAATGTCTGAAGTCTAGCAGATAGCTAATACATATTTTTGAATAAACAATTATAGATCTTCCTGAACTTAAGATGGGGTTTTATCCCAATAAACCCATCATAAGTTGAAAATATTGTAAGTAAAAAAATGCATTTAATACACCTAACCTGCTGAACCTCATAGCTTAGCTTAACTTACTCTACAATGTGCTCAGAACACTTACATTAGCCTACAGCTGGGCAAAATCATCTAACACAAAGCCTATTTTATAGTAAAGTGTTGAATATCTCATGTAATTTATTGACTACTATACTCAAAATGAAAAACAGAATGGTTGTATAGGTACAGAATGGTTGTAAGTATATCACTGTTTACCCTCATGATTGCACGGCTGACTGGGACCTATAGCTAGCTGCTGCTGTCCAGTATCATAAGAGTGTATAATACAACATATTGTTAGCCTGAAAAAGACCAAACTTCAAAATTTGAAGTATAGTTTCTTTTTTGTTTTTAAAGATTTTATTTATTTATTTGAGAGAGAGAATGAGATAGAGAGAGCATGAGAGAGGAGAGGGTCAGAAGGAGAAGCAGACTCCCTGCTGAGCAGGGAGCCCGATGCGGGACTCGATCCTGGGACTCTAGGATCATGACCTGAGCCGAAGGCAGTCGCTTAACCAACTGAGCCACCCAGGCGCCCTGAAGTATAGTTTCTACTAAATGCATATAACTTTCACACCATCATAAAGTCAAAACATTGTAAGTCAGAACGTAGTAAGTTGGGGACCATCTATATTCTGTGCCATATCTTAGAAACCTTGTAAACTATAGCCCAGAAATACCCTCTTATAACTGAGACAGCAGGTTCTTCATAATAGATTAAAACTGCATCAATCAAGATGCAAACTTTCTAAACCAAACTGTAAGTAAAATGCACCACAGACACTAAGGTCTAGGCTCTATTGCAAATAACAGATTCACTTCTCAAGAAGGCTTCAATCCAGGAAGAGAATTTTTTTCCAATTATTCACTATGATGATTTTAATAATTGCATAATTCACAAATATCCTATGTCTAAGTGACATCAGGCATTTCCCAATTAACATGTGGGAAAAAAACTATCAAATGTAAGTCTTCCTTAAAGATTTACTGAAAGCAGTAAACTATGTCTTCCAATCATCTTACTAAAGTACACGATCTTAATTATAAATCAGCCCAATGGGTGGATCATTTTCATATTACAGGGCATATTAATTTATGAGCTTCCTGATGATTTCCCAAACAGAAAGTAAGGTGCCTTTGTTCATCTGATCCCACAGACCCTAACCCCTGTCTTCAAGCCATAGAAACAGGCAACCTCAACATTAAGACATACATGAAATCCAGATTTGCAGTAAAATAAAACCATCCTTTTCTTGGCTCATGAAGGTTCCAGGGAATATGCCTGCAATGGAAAAAAGAGAAATATAAAAATCTTTTACCTTATTTGCCCTTATTCCATATGATTCCTCCAGTTTTAATATAGGACCTGGGCTATCTTTACTGTGAAGGACACTGAAGATTTCAATAGCCAAGCCTCTGTGTGTGAGTGAACTTTGTATTAGCTTAAAAATTTCCTCCTTCAAATGCCCAGTGCAGATCCAAGCAGCCAATATTATTCCTTGATGCTGAACTTCAGGTAAGATAGATATATATGTAACATCCTCTGGGGTTCAACCACAAATCTTTTTTTAAATACTAATGAAAACATATGAAAAATTTAAATCCATATCTATAATGGCAAAAAAGAAAAACCATTAGCCATAAAACAGAAATCAGCAAGAGCTGAAAAGTGTATAGAACTAGATTATACTGTTTCCTTTAAATGAATAAAATGAAATCCAGCAATCAACAATACAAGATTCACAATACCCAGGATCCATTAAGAAAATCACTAGGCATGCAAAAAACAGGCAAATGTGACACAAAGCAGAAAAAAAAAAAAATCAAGCAATAGAAACAAACCCAGAAATGACATATAGGATGAAACTAGCAGAAAAAAAATACTTTTTAGTATTCAGCTATAAAAATATTTACCATATCTTTAATTTCATAATTTTTTAAAAAATTTTACTATGTTATGTTAATCGCCATACATTATATCATTAGTTTTTGATGTAGTGTTCCATGATTCATTGTTTGCATATAACACCCAGTGTTCCATGCTGTACGTGCCCTCTTTAATACCCATCACCAGGTTAACCCATCCCCCCACCCCCCACCCCTCTAGAACCCTCAGTTTGTTTCTCAGAGTCCATAGTCTCTCATGGTTCGTCTCCCCCTCCGATTCCCCCCCTTCATTTTTCCCTTCCTGCTATCTTCTTCTTCTTTTTTTAATATATAATGTATTACTTGTTTTAGAGCTACAGATCCGTGATTCATCAGTCTTACACAATTCACAATGCTCACCATAGCACATACCCTCCCCAATGTCTATCACCCAGCCACCCCATCCCTCCCACCCCCCACCACTCCAGCAACCCTCAGTTTGTTTCCTGAGATTAAGAATTCCTCATATCAGTGAGGTCATATGATACATGTCTTTCTCTGACTGACTTATTTTGCTCAGCATAATACCCTCCAGTTCCATCCACGTCATTGCAAATGACAAGATTTCATTCCTTTTGATGGCTGCATAATATTCCATTGTACATATATACCACCTCTTCTTTATCCATTCATCTGTCGATGGACATCTTGGCTCTACTGGGTATTTACCCCAAAGATACAAATGTAGGGATCTGAAGGGGTACATGCACCCCAAAGTTTATAGCAGCAATGTCCACAACAGCCAAACTATGGAAAGAGCCAAGATACCATATCTTTAATAAGTAAAGGAATGCATAACCATAATGAGGAGAAAAATGGAAGATATAGAAAAGACTCAAATGGAACTTCTAAATTTTAAAAATATAGCATCTGCAATAAAAAATACTCTGGATACCATTAATAGCAGCAAATGAAAAATATATTGGCTGAGACTAATAGCAGAGTACATACAACATAATAAATGGTCAGAGCAAAAGAAACTATCCAAAATGGAAAATAGAAAAAATGAAGACTAAAAATAAAAATGAACACAGGATCGGTGATACGTGGTTTCTTACCAAGAAGTCTACCATACGTGGAATTGGACTCCTGGGAAAAAAAAGGGGGAGGCAAAAATAGTAGTAGAAATAGAGCTACAATTTTACCAAATTTGATGAAAACTATAAACCTACAGATTCAAGAATTTCAAAGAACCACAAGTAGAATTAAAAAAAAAGATCTACACCCTAGCACATTAGAATCAAATTGCTAAAAACCAATGAAAGAGAGAAAATCTTAAAAGGAAACAAAGTGGGGTGGGGGGAGGTGATAAGAAGTACAGCAGATTTGTCATCAGATAATGTGCAGGTCAGAAGACAAGGAAGAAACATTTTAAGATACTGAAATTAAAACAAAAACAAAATTAAACCATGTCAACTTAGAATTCTACTTATACTCAGTGAAATTATCCCTCAAAATAGAAGATGAAAAAATCAACTTTTCAAAAAAACAAAAGCTAAGAGAATTCATTACTAACAGACTTCCACTACAAGAAATGTCAAAGGAAGTTCTTCCACAGAAGGAAATACCACGTGGAAATTATAATCTATACAAAAGAATTGAAGAGCAGTAAAAATGGTAAGTATGTGGTAAATAAATACAAAGGAATTGAAGAGCACTAAAAAATGGTAAATATGTGGTAAATAAAAAAGATATTTTTTCACTTTAAATTCCTTTCAAATATAACTAGATGTTCAAAGCAGAAAAATAACAATGTATTATGAATTCTGTAGCTTATAAAAAACAAAACACATGACACAGCACAGCACAAAGGATAAGAAGAGTGAAATGGAGGCATGCCATTGTAAGACTCTATAGTGGTAGCTTTATATGTTTAGAAAAAAGGGAGCAAATTAGGAATTTAATTTAAGAATTAAGATATAGAACTTTACATAAAAACTTTGGAAAAAAATCCAGGATCTTTAAAAAATGATTTAATTCAAAACCACACTTTCAACAATGGCTAGATCATCCAGACATAAAACCAATAAGGAAACACTGGACTTAAACTACACATTAGACCAGATGAGCCTATTAAACATATATAGGACATTCCATCCAACAGCAGCAGAGAACACACATTCTTCTCAAGTGCACATGGAACATTCTCCAGGATAGATCACATGTTAGGTCATAAAACAAACCTTAAAAAATTTAAGAAGAATGAGATCACATCAAGCATCTTTTCTGACCACAATGGTATGAAATTAGAAATCAATTTTAAGAAAAAAAAAAAGGGAAAATTCACAAATATGTAGAAATGAAACAATATAAATAAATGGAAAGATATTCTATACTCTAGGATTGGAAGAATTAATATTGTTAAAATGCCCATACCAACCAAAGCAATCTACGGATTCAATGCAATCTCTATCAAAGCTACAATGGTATTTTTTACAGAAATTAAAAAAAAAAATCCTAAAATTTGTATGAAACTACAAAAGACATTGAATAGCCAAAGTAATCTTGAGAAAGAACAAAGCTGGAGGCATCACAATTCCTGATGCCAAACTATATTACAAAGCTGTAGTAATCACAACTGTATAGAATTGGCATAAGAACAGACATATAGGGGCGCCTGGGTGGCTCAGTCGTTAAGCGTCTGCCTTCGGCTTAGGTCATGATCCCAGGGTGCTGGGATCGAGCCCCGTATCGGGCTCCCTGCTTGGCGGGAAGCCTGCTTCTCCCTCTCCCACTCCCCCTGCTTGTGTTCCCTCTCTCGCTGTCTCTCTCTCTGTCAAATAAATAAATAAAATCTTAAAAAAAAAAAAAAAAGAACAGACATATAGGTCAATGGAACAGTTTAGAGAGCCCAGAAATAAACGCATGCCCATATAGTCAATTAATTTATGACAAAACAGTCAAGAATATACAATGAGGACTCTCTGCAATAAATGGTGTTGGGAAAGCTAGACAGCCATATGCAAATGAATGAACTAACCCTCTATCTTACACCACACAAAAATCAACTCAAAATAGATTACAGATATAAATGTTTAGAAGTCCTAGGAAAAAACAAGGGTAAGCTCCTTGACATCAACCTTGGTAATGATTTTTTGAATTTGGCACCAAAAGCCAAGGCAACAAAAGCAAAAATAAACAAGAAAGACTACTTCAAACTAAAAGGTCTACACAGTTATGGAAACCAGCAACAAGATGAAAAGGCAACCTATGGAATGGAAGAATATATTTGCAAACCTGCAAATCTAATGAAATTTGCAAAGCTGATTAGGGGTTAACATCGAAAATATACAAGGAACTCATACAACTCAATAGCAAAAAAACAAATAATCCAATTAAAAAATGGGCAAAGAACCTGTATAAACATTTTTTCCAAAGAAGATGTACAAATGTACAACAGGTCCATGAAAGGGTATTCAACATCCCCAATCACCAGAAAAATGCAAATCAAAACCACAATGAGATACTACCTCACAGCTGTTAGGATGTCTATCATCAAAAAGACAAGATATAACAAAGGTTGGTAAGGATGTGGAAAAAAAGGAATACTTGTGGCACTGCTGGTGGAAATAGAAGTTGGTTCAGCCACTCTAAACAGTATGGAGGTTCCTCTGAAAATTAAAATAGAGCTATCATATGATTCAGCAATCCTATTTCTGGGTATACATCCAAAGGAAATTAAATCATTACCTCAAAGAAATATCTGTACTCCCATGTTCATAGCAGCATTATTCACAATAACCAAGGTATGGAAATAACCTAAGTGTCTGATGACAGATGAATGGATTGAGAAAATGTTATACACACACACATGCATATACACAGGAATAATTTTTAGCCTTATGAATCTGGAGGGCATTATGCTAAGTGAAGTAAGCCAGACAGCAAAAGACAAATACCATATGGGATCAGTTATATGTGGAATCTTAAAAAACAAACAAAAAACAAAACAAAGAAACAAACAAATAAAACGGGCACCTGGATGGCTCAGTCAGTTAAGCATCTGCCTTCGGCTCAGGTCATGATCCCGGAGTCCTGGGATCGAGTCCCAAGTCGGTCTCCCTGCTCCACAGGGAGTCTGCTTCTCCCTCTGCCCCTCCTCCCACTCACTCTCTCAATCTCTCTCTAATAAATAAATAAAATCTTAAAAAAAAAATGAACTCATAGAAACAGTATACAGTGGTGGCTTCCAGGGCCTGAGGGGTGGGGGAAATGGGGAGAGATTGGTAAAAGGATACTAACTTTCAATTTTAAGATGAATAAAGTCTGTGGATCTAATGTATAACATGGTAACTATGGTTGATAATACTATATTGTGTACCTGAAATTTGTTAAGGGAGTAGGAATTAAGTGTTC